ATTTTTTTGCAAATGTTTTTTATTATAAATTCAGTAAAAAATTCATAAAAAATCTATATTTCAAAAAACTTTTATATTCTGTATTAATAAATATGGAATATAGATTTTTTTAAAGTTTTTTACTAAAAACTTTAAAAAATTACTACTTTTTATTAAAAACATTGCAAAAAATTTGTAGTTAAGGATTGACAAACAATTTTTTGCAATGTTTTTAGTCCAACATTTAAAAAATACAAAAACTTTGACTTTATAAAAAAAAATTTTCCTGCTGATTATTCTATTTACAGATCATTCAAATCATCTTTTAGGTAGCATAAAACAATGTTTTTTAAGTAGCAGACATAGAACACTGGTTTTTAGGAAGCAGGCATAGAACAATGGTTTTTAGGTAGCAGACAGAAACATGGTTAGAACACATACTTTAGAATCATAAGGCTCATGGCTTAATGCTAGCTTAGGCTAAGTTTGCTATATAGGTAAGTGAGAAGGAACTTTCTTGTTAAATGCTCTGTACTCTATTACAAGACTTCATAGAGCACCTTAATGACTTCATAGAGCACCTTAATAACCAGATAAAATCTTATTTGATCACTGGTGATGATTATTAAAAAGAAAAAGAAAGAGATCTGAAGCAGAAAAAATACAGAGATCTGAAGCAAAAGAAGCAGGTTCAAGAGATCCCTAGTTTCCTTGTCTTGATTTTTTTCTCGTGCAATAATCCTTAAACTTCTTAAAGTTCATGAGCATTCGTAGTTGTGCAATAGAAATATTTTTGTAATAACATTTAGGGCAATGAATTAATATTTTATAATCTGATGCAGGCATATAATACTAGCCCTATTCTCCTACTAGCAATTTAACAGCATTAACACAATACTCATTAGGTTAGTGACAGTGATTTGAATAGATTTTGGAAAAAATTTTCATTCCGAAAATTTTTTCTTATCTCAGCTGCTAAAACAACCTGACCAGCTTTTATAAGCAATCCATAATCTAAACTGTTGCTCAGTAAAGAATGTAAAATAACTGTGAGCCAATAAGTATTTTCAAGTTTTAGTTTACATTTTAGATATTGACAAAAGCTTCTGATGGAGAATAAAATCTTGTTACAACTTTTGTCCAGAAATGAAGAATTGTTTCAGCATGAAAATAAAGCTTCAATGTTTTCATAATTCAAAAATTGTAGTAAAACTAAATTAAAATAAAAACCATCTTTTCTAAAAGAAAAGTTACTTATAACTTAAAAGTTACTTATAGGAACTTAAACGAAAAATTTTGTGAGGACTTTTTTTTGATGATATAAAACTATTTATCTTGAATAAAGTCAAAGAATAAAAGTGAAATAATAGAGAAAAATAAATTTAAAAAATTACAAAATCCCTAGAGAGACATTTGCTAAGTTTACTACTTAACTGTTTAAAAAAGTTACCTAAAGTTATCTATAATTATGTAAAAAAACAAAAAACAAACATAGTTGTTGTTTAAAAGCCATTTTGTTTTCAATGTTTTTATTACTTATCAAAATCCTCAACATTTTTACAAAAAAATTGCTCGCTATATATAGCATTTAAAAATACAACTTGTGAATCTTGTCAACAATTAATGATTGTTATACAAAACGTTATAATAATAAACATATGCAACGTGACTTTTGTCAATAATTAGCAAAGCTAATTATTGACAAATGGGCATTTCGATTCCTGAGCGTGATTTTTTATTTTTCTTTGTTTTAGCAATTAAAAGCTGAGACTTTATGCAATATGCATACTATTTTGGCTTTTTTAAAGAAAAATTATAACAAAAATATTTTTATCATATTTTAGGCTATCTGAATAAATTAAATATACACATTTTTACAATTTTATTTTTTTGAGTAATAATATCACAACATTTTAAAAAATATACAATAATTTTCATAACGCCATACTCTCGCTAGAAATAATTGATGACTGCCATTTCTCATTTAAAATATATTAAATATGAGTCATAGAAGTATAATATTTCACTTAAAATACTCACAAGCAATTTATTTTCATAAAAATAACTACATGAAATTGACAAATTCGCAACATCCGTGCGTGACTTCCGTGCGTGATGCATTTAAACGATTGCTGTGACTCTATGATTCATAGTGCAATCCTGTAACTTCTGGAAATCTTTACTAATGTTTAAAATATTATTTAAAAAAAAAAAAGTATGCCGGTGAAACTAATATTTTCCGAGGAATTAAAGTTTATTTATCTAGTAACTAAAATGGAAGTTTTTCTGTTCCGTGCGTGATTCCATTTCAAACTTTATTTATTCTTTGTTAACATTACTAATGGTTACTATTTTTTGTTTACAAAATATTTATGTTGATTAGAATTAAATGAGAGTAAATTGGAGATCGCTAGTTTTATTTTAATGAAAATAAAAGTAAAAACATAGACGAGTTTCCGTGCGTGATTTTTTGGAAATGCCCAAATTATTGATGCACATTAAAATCACAACAATAGTCAAATAAACTAAGATTGCAGAAATATATATCAGGGTGTTAGCTAGCCTAATGGCACCATGTATAATCCAGAATTCCCAATTGGTTTAAAACTCCCAAAGATTTAAAAGATCATAGTAGACACATAGAAAATATATTTAGTATACTTGATGAATAAAATTGATCGAGAGCAATAAGTTTTTTTGAAGTGAAAAAAAGTGTTGTTATTAACAAAAAAGATCATTCATTTAAAAGTAAAAGAAAAACTTTATTTTTTAATCAACCAAACTTTTTCACTCGTTGAGATTTTTCAATGTTTAATAAACTATTTTTATTTTATTTTTTTTTAAAATCTCTATTTTACATTTTTACTTTTTATCTTAAGTTAGGAAAGTACAAAGTCTTTGCATACTAATAAACAATAAATAATATACTTTAAAATAAGTTATTAACACTTTTTTTAATAAGGGAATTAAAAAAACTTTTAGTAAACTAATTTTGTTGGTAAAGCACAAACAAATAATGTTTCCCTTTATACATGTTCCAACTACTATATTCATCCACTGATATAGTTATTGATCATTAATTATTGATAACATTTTTTTAAGAAAGTTTTTGACTACTTTAGCTGCAAGAGAAAAAAAGCAAAAAAGCTGTTTCAAAAACATTTATGAAAAAAAGCTTTTTCATGAATGTTTCAGAACTTTTTTCTTTTTTTTTTTCTTTTTTATTAAAAAACTTGAAATATTGAACTACTTGTGCAGTTTGAAAACAAATAAGTAAGATTTGTATCTACAATTGATTTGTATCTACAATCGATTGACTGTCATCACATGAAAACAAATAAGTAAGATTTGTATCTACAATTGATTTGCATCTACAATCGATTGACTGTCAACACATTAGGCAGAAGCAGACAAGAAAAAGATCTGTCTGAGAATGTTAAAATTATTTTTAGTATTATAATATGGTCAGATCACCCCAAGTATGTTTTAAGCCCTATCACTGCATGCTTTTACCCAAAAATATATCAAGAGAGTGAGTAGCCTGAAGATGTGTGAAAAATCACCAGTAAGCAAATGAGGTTACCACATTAAGTAGTGTTTAGGAGAGAAAACACACATTTGCAAGACAATACACAGAAAGCTTTTGTAAAAACAGAGCTACTATTTTCACAAATCTATTATTTATCTTAATGTTACCTTAACTGCCAAAGAGAGTTTCCAAATATAAAAAGTACATTTGTTATTTTAACTAGCTGCCATTCAAAATATGATATGCCACATGCATATCTAAAGAATAAAAACTTAAACCAAAAAGCCTTCACTTCAATAAGGCTGCTAAGAGGTCATCACAAGTAGAGCTAGACATTCACAAACTATTTTGACTTCATGCAAAAAATTCAGAGTACCAGTTAAAGAAATATTACAGACAACTGTCAGTAAATGTCTTTTGTATGCCCAATATAAAAAGCATGAAAGCACATTTTAATGCCCTCTCATAGATTTAAGTGTTAAGAATAGTTAATTTGAAAAGATTCTGCTAGACTGAATTTGCATTCCCCAAAACAAGAACCCATACTCAAAATAAAGTTTCGACAAAAAAAGCAAAAATAGATAATGAAGCATTGGTAAATTCCATTAAAATTTGAGCAATTAAATGGTTATTTTTACAGGCGGCTTACAACTTAAGATGATATTAAAGATGACTAATTAGCAAAACATAAAACTAGGTCAAGTGTTCTAATATTAACATTTATGCCTTATACATACAGAAAATAAAACAAGTTATAACAGTAGTATTTTAAACACATTTTATGTTTTTTCATTCACATCAAATTTAGAACAGGCATTTATAAAAAGCTACTTAAATAAAACAACCTCACAATGTTGTTTAAATAAGACACAATTAAGATGCAGATGCAGATGTTTATTTAAGTGCAGGTTTGATGTGAATGGGACATTATATATTCACACTTCACATTAGCTGTAAACATTTTAAAACAATTAAAAATAATACTTAGTTATTAAAGCACAAATTTTATTTCAAAGAAATAAAAAAATTTATTTATATAAAATAAAATTTTTTAAAGTTTTTTACATATTTCTATTTTTGTTTAAATGAAGCTAAATATGACCCTATTTGTCTCATTAGTTGGAAAAGATTATATGAAAAAAAATTTGTTTCTTTCATTCAGTTGAGCAGATGTTTTTTATTTTTCCAAAAACACAGTTGTCTTGACTGGACTCTTTTTAGAATGACCAATTCAATTGTTTTTGTAAATAATAAATTTTAATTATATATCTTTTGAAAACTATTTTATTTCTTTTAAATAAAAAAAATTGTGCATTTGAACTTTTGAAGTAAAAAATTTACCAAAAAAAAAAATTCAAAAAGTAACAAAGCACTAACTTAAAAATAACATAAAAATATCACATATAATAAAAAATAACATAAAAATATCATATATAATAAAAAAGCTAAAATAAACTGCAATAATTACAAATCATTTAAACACAAAACAAACCTTTAATTAGCAACCCATTTTTCGCAGCAGTAGTAATACCAGAAACAATAGCTAAGGGAGTTGCCATAACAAGTGAACATGGACAACCAGCAACAAGAATTGTCAATGCACGAACACCCCACAAATGAATACCAGTGTTACTTATTATACTTGGCTGCAAAAAAGAAAGAGAAAAAAATATATTTTAAAATTACTAATAAACTAACTTGATATAGTTTTTTTAAATAAGTACAAGACATATTTAACATATCTAAAAATTGTTTTAATACATAGGGGTTGTCCACAAATTAGGCCATGCAAGAAGGGTAGGTGGGTGTTAGGTGTTATTAATATTGTGACAATTTATAACAGGGGAACGGAGTGGGGTAATCATTTTTGTGACACAACATTTTTTTTAAAAGAGTGTCTAGCCAAACAAAAACATAAAAATAAAACAACCTCATGTAGACTACGCTGTCAACTACAGCTATATCAGTCAATGACACAGCCACAGTCACAGTCTGCAGCTATATCATCAATGAAAAAAGAATTAATAATAATATAATTAAAATTATTAAATTAAAATATATTAAATAAAAATATAATAACTATTTAACAACAATAGTAAACATATTCCTGTTAATATTAATGTCGGTGACACTACACTAACATATTGTCAATAGAGTTTGAATTTAAGTTTATTTTTCTGTTAATTTTTACAATTTTATATAGAACTATGTGGAGTACAAAAAATAATGTTAAATAATAATAATTAAAAATTTATCTGTATTGAAATGTATTAATTAACTGAAAGCAGCACTTTTAGGGGTAGAGTGACAAATTTTATATAACATAATTTAATGGTGGTGGTGGTGGGGTAAAAAAGGGGGCAGTAAAGACTGAAGATTTTTTAATAGGGGAAGGGTCTAAAACTGTCAAAAACTAGATGTGTTAAATTTGGCTTGTGCTCACTGGGATTTAATTATTGTTGTTATTTTTACTTTCACTACTATTTATTACTATTCATTACACTATTTTCTATTTAGTAGGTCATTTTATGAATAACTTTGTTCTTACAACAGTGTGCATCTAGGAAAAATGTGTATGTCATTATGCAGTTTACAAACCAAGGTCATCATTACTTCTAGTAGTTCATTTGTCAGTTTGTTCTCATGATATTTTGTTTATTGTGTTTTGGCTAATTTATAGTGAAGTTATTTAAACATTTTGTGTAATTATTTCAATGGCTGTTTTGTGTAGATATGTCAACTTTATTTTTAAATTTATATTTAAATATAAACTAGAGCTGCAAATCTTTATTAAACTTTACATAAAACTACTAAATTTAAACATTCTGTGCATACCTTAACTTTGTGAATAATGTAAGGTATCATGAAACACAGAAATGATCCAAACAGAATTATAGGGATATAATACTGTGCAAATTTGTTCATCAGTTTTACAGTATGTGATTCTTTTGCCAGAGCTAACTCAGTAAGTTGCGAAATTTGAAATAATGTAGATGAATTATAATCACAAACAGTTTTTATCTAAAAAAATGAAAATCAATTATAAATATCTAGCATTATACATATGCAATATATAAATATTATGTTTAAAATGTTTTAATATAAGAAAATTAAAAAAAAAAAATGCCTTAGAAACTAAATTTAAAAATATTATAAAAACTAGATATCTAGTGAAACTAGGTCATTATTTTATGCATATTGCTTAATGACAAAATTTGTATTAAACAACATCGTTTTTCTTTCTAAACTTGGTTTAGAAGATCTTATACAAAAAGATGGTTATTATACTTTGATTCAAAAAGACTGTCATATGCTTGGCTTAAATGTTTACTTAACCACCTATTAGTCAAGAAATCAGGTTTAAATCATCTCATCATTATTTTATGTACAATTTAATGTTTTTTGTACATTAATTTAATGCTTAGCACCTCCTTACTCTATTATCTTTCTTTTTGTTCTCTATCAAGACTTCTTCTTAAGACTGCACTTTTTTAGATGATTTCTGATTAAATTGACCACGCCCTTTCTCCACCCCTCTGCCAATGTTGTTGTTATTTGTGACTTTAATGCTCATCACATTGAATCGCTTGGCCTAAACACTACTGACCCTGCTGGCATTTAAACTTATAACTCCTGTTTTTCTCAATTTCTTACTCAAACACTTTTGACTTCCAGACAACCATTATCACTTAATTTACTTCTTGATTTTTGTCTTTTTTGTTGTTGTTTTTATTATGATTCAATTTCAACAAGGCTGCAAGCAACCACTACTGGCTGCAAGCAACCACTACTGGCTGCAAGCAACCACTACTGGCTGCAAGCAACCACTACTGGCTGCAAGCAACCACTACTGGCTGCAAGCAACCACTACTGGCTGCAAGCAACCACTACTGGCTGCAAGCAACCACTACTGGCTGCAAGCAACCACTACTGGCTGCAAGCAACCACTACTGGCTGCAAGCAACCACTACTGGCTGCAAGCAACCACTACTGGCTGCAAGCAACCACTACTGGCTGCAAGCAACCACTACTGGCTGCAAGCAACCACTACTAAGTTTGGAGTTACTAGAAAAAAAGAATAGAGTAATAGAACAAGAAAATGACTGGCAGAAGACTTGAGAAGTTAAAGGTTCTATGATTAGTATTCGATGTCATTAGTTTGTTGGAGTTATAATTTACAAGTCACTGTGAGCCCCAATCTGTTACAGAAATGATATCAGATTCAAGATCGACTGCTTGTTCTAGGCGATTGAAAAGAGAAGACTTATTAACAAGACAGGAGTATAAAGTTGAGTCATTAGCAAAAAGTCTTGTCTCTGATTCTAGCTTTTATTCATTTTCTTCTAGTTCTCTTTTAGCTAATTCTGACCATCTCTGAAAATCTTTCATCTCGTACATTTTATTTGGACACAACCTATAATCACACTACTTACTACTATCCAAAAGTTTACGCAAATTCTTTTTGTGATTTTCTTAGTAATAGTACTTGGGTTGATGTCTTTTATTTCTCTCTGCTGATATATGTGGTTTCTACATAACTTCCTGGATCCAGGCAGGTACAGAAGCTTTTATTCCTTCTCTTTGGTTAAGTCAAGCCTCATTTTAATCAGAGGTTTTTACCTTCTTGTGCAGCTATAATATCTAATTGAAATTTCATCATTTTTTCATCTTTTTCAAAAGAACAACACTCTTGAGAGCAAACTCCTTTTTATTACTACAGGAAATCAACATTTAAAAATTTATGTCCGATGCTAACCTCCATTATTCCTAGTTTACTAGATTTTGTATCTTACAAAAATAGCTTGCTTGAGCTAATGTTTGTATCTTTAAAAGATACAAACTTGAGTTCAAGCCAAAGTTTGTATCTTATAAAGTATCTTACTCCAAACTTGAGACTCTCTCCCATCATTGTTGCATCTCTTTCCTTTTTCTTTAAATACAATCTTGATCACTGCTCAAAGGAGCTATCATCTCTAGTTCCATCAACCAAAACTCATTCTTTCTTGACTCGTCATTCAGCTGAGTCACATTTTTCTACTGTATTTGTTCCTGCATTTTCTAAAAACTTTTACTCATCTAGTTTTTTTCCTACACTTCAACTCTTTGAACTCTGTCTCACCTTCATATTTTCCTGAATCATACAAATAGGAAGCACCACAGAAGTTTGGAAACACCACAAAAGAATTTTGGAAACACCACAAAAGAATTTTGGAAACACCACAAAAGAATTTTGGAAACACCACAAAAGAATTTTGGAAACACCACAAAAGAATTTTGGAAACACCACAAAAGAATTTTGGAAACACCACAAAAGAATTTTGGAAACACCACAAAAGAATTTTGGAAACACCACAAAAGAATTTTGGAAACACCACAAAAGAATTTTGGAAACACCACAGAAGAAATTTGTATGCACCACAGAAGAAGTTTGGAAGATCAATTTAAAAGGGAGCTATTCTATAGCTGCAAAGACAGCTATAAAACAGCTCCCTAGAATGATAAGAAATTGGTTTTAACCAATGTTGGTTAATTATTATTCCTTACCCAGGTATTAACTTAAATGTGACCTGGGTAATTTACAAATTTTTTCTCATCGTTTACCTATGTGATTCTTTGGAATCACCCAAGTAAATTCAGGTATTTTTAAGTTTTGTCAATGTTTTGATAATTATTTTTGTAAGTGAGAAAGTTTTGCTGGGGTCAACTTTATTTAAGAGTAATTTGCGTGGCACAAAAAATGTTTTTTAATATTATTCCATTTATATGACACACACAAGGTTACCAGCTTAGTCTGCAGCTAACACTCAAAGTTACCAGCTTAGTCTGCAGCTGTTACATAAGTACTTTTTAAACAAAATTATAATTTTCAGCATGTAAATAAGATATTATGCATTCAAAGTTACTATGTAACTTATAACTTGTTTGTGATATAATTATTTATATCACCATTATATTTAACAGAAAAATCTGATATTTTGAAAATGACTGACTTTAAAGATGCAAGTTCTAAACAAAAATCACATATTTGGGAATATTTTTTGTATAGTAATAAATATTTCGAAACATGCTTTGTTTTTAAAATGATTTGTGACCATGGAGGCAAAAAAACTGAAAAAAACATTCAAATCTCAAATCAACTTTGTCTAAATTTAAGTTTCCAGCAACACTGTAGCAACAACAAAACATGCAAATGTAATAATGAAATTTGGAGACTAGTTCTATATCTGTGTTATCTCACACATGCAATCTGTTTTTGTGTTTGTGAGACACTTTTTAAACCTCATAGTATGAACTATGATATATTAGATGATGTAACTGAAAAGGAAAATGATTATGATGAAATATAGGAGATATACAATGAATCTAACAGCAAATCTGATTTCTAATAGTGATGCAATTGTTGCTAAGATTCATAAATTTGTTTAAGTCTTCAACAAGTGTTATAAAGAAAGATAAAAATTATAAACTTAAAAATCCTTCAAAGTCCTTTGGAAAGCTAACAAATTTATTTTTTAAGAAAAAAATTCAAAGACCTATACTCTTTCATGACATATTTTTAGTCTTTTGAGTGTGAAATTTTTTTTTTAAAAGGAGACCTAAAAAATAAAACATTTTTATTATATTGCAAAAAAGTTGAAATAAAAAATTAAACAATGCTGAAAAAAAAAGTGTATTTACACATGAAACACAAGTACACTAACTTCTTTATTTCTGATTTACATAACTCATAATACCATCATAATCATTATTTTTAAAATTATAGTCACAAGCACTTCTACCCTTTATGAATGTAGCACTAATGGTTTTTATTGTATATAATGGTTTTTATTGTATATAATGGTTTTTATTGTATATAATATTTATATAATGGTTTTTATTACAAATCTTAAGCACAAACACTATGTACCATTCATCATTGTAAAAGCATGCAATGCATTTACTGGATTTAAAATTTAAAGAATCTTTTTGTACCAAGTTAACATTATTCAGCAATCAGGTATCATAAACAGGATTGCTAGAGGTTATCTGTAAAAAATATTTCTGTGCTCATATTTATATATATATATATATATATATATATATATATATATATATATATATATATATATATATATATATATATATATATATTATATATATATGTATATGTATATGTATATGTATATATATATATATATATATATATATATATATATATATATATATATATATATATATATATATACATACACTTACTAAAGCGTGTTTTGATAAGCATTTGCTCACTTTATGCGCTTACCTTAAGCTATACCGTTTTTTCGAAAAAGAAGAAAAAAACAAAGAATGATGAATAAAATGATTGCTGCCCCATCCCAAACCCTCAGTCGATGTAGCAGCACTCCACTGCGAGTCAAGCTATTTGTCAGTCGATGTATGTACTGAAGCTCCCAGCAGCAGGCTATTTCAGTATGACGTCAGATTGCTTACCATAGTACACAATACTATTTGTATATATATATATATATATATATATATATATATATATATATATATATATATATATATATATATATATATATATATATATCATACATTGCTTTTGGAGGTTAAAATAAGTTTTATGGTTATTAATATCACCACTTGATAAAATATGCTAACACCTTCTAATACTGATTTGTAATCATAGCTATAAAAAAAGAAGCTTTTGCTGCTTCTTTTTTTTATAGCTGCTCTTATTCCACTACATAGGCTTTTGCCATGGAATATAGTAAAAAAGTAATGCTCAGCATTTATATTGTGATCTTCAAGGCGGTACATTAAGTTTAATATTTGTAATTTATGTACTTTATTGATAGTGGGTAGTTTGATTTTGACCCTAGGGAGTAACTTTGTGAGAAAACAATAAACTGATGTTTTTTCATGACGAAGATGGTCAGAAATTATGCAATAGCATTCACATTTGAGTTTATCTTTTTGATCTTTGTAATAAACAGCAAATGGATATAAGGTAGCTTGATCGGCTTGCCAGTAAAATATTTGTACAACATCTTGTACAAGAAAATGCAACATCAATAAAATTAAGACAGGTGTGTTGATTTAATGGAATTTTTGCCTCTGATAAATAGAAAGATTGTGCTTCTTTGATAAAGTGACAAAGATCATACAAAGTTTCCCTTAGAGTTTCAATAACCTCAATTATGCTTGTTTGAACTGTGACAAGTGCAGTTTTGTCAGTTGACACCCATTATTTATGTGATCTAATTATCACTTGGAGCATAGATGAAACATGCAGCTTCGACTATCTATATTACAAACACATACTTTCATCAAATCTTTTTAATACATTAAAAACCCTTAAGTAAAGCACCATGCATCAACTTAGCATTTTGAAGATAAGAACATACAAAAACTGAGTGACTTCTACAACTATCAACTGTGATGCAATACTGAATCCAACTTTGTGTTTAAAAACTTCAGATAAAGTTCCAGGCCTTGGTGGATTGTTATATCTTTAGCTCTTGCTCTCACCCACACTCCACTAAAGTGGTTTATGGAAGCAGTTTTGCTAAGGTATAATTTTTACTTAAATATAAACCTTTTTTTTTCTTTCTATTTTTTAATAATAGTTAGAAAAATTAAAAATTCTTGTGCAAACTACATCAAATAAAGAAGACAAAAAAGAAAAACAAAAAAGTCATTTTTGTAATAAATCATTAATTTCATTATAAATTTTATTATAATGAATAAACAAATAGATTGTGCATAAACCGAAAACTTTTGTAAAAAGCTGTTTGGAGGCGCAGTTTGCATGGCTCGCCATGTTCCTTTTAGGAGAGCTTTTCTCTGCACTCTTTTAATTCGGCTGAGGTCTGAAGTTCCTTTAAACAAACTAATACTAAACATTTTTGCTAATGAATTTTTATATTATTTATATGCACAGAAACAAAATCTTTTTTTCTTGGACATTGTCTGGTGAAGTCTTTATATTCATAAATTTCAATGACAAGTTCAACAATATTTTTTAAAGGTTATTTTTTCTAGCCTAGGTTTAGCAAGTATCATTTTTTCATTTTTTAACTTTGGGGCTTTCTTAACAAAATGTTTTTAAACTGAAATGTTTTTTCAATTGATTATTAGGAGTAATTGAGCTTTTTTTTACTTCAAAATTATTCTCTAAAAATTTGTCTAAATTGTAATATGTTATTCACTTTTGTTCTTATTCCAAAACTATATTTATCTAATACTGATGCTACTAGGTTTGTCATACTTGATGATGTAATAATTGTATCCAGTTTTTTAACATTTTGCTTTCCAAATCCTAATTTGTCGCATTTACATTTGTTACTAGGTTTGTCATACTTTACTAGGTTTGTCATACCAATTGTCATACTTGCATCCAGTTTTTTAACATTTTGCTTTCCAAATCCTAATTTGTTGCATTTACTTACATTTTTGAGTGGAGATATTTCCAATAAAGATACAGTCTTTAAACTTAAGATTTTAAAATCAACTCTAAGTGCAAATGAAGTGTTTTGCACTCAAATTGTCTAAATTATATCTGCATAAAATTAAATAATAATAATAATAATAATAATAATAATAACAATAAATTCCAAAACCATATCAAATAAATTGAATTAAGAAACTGATTATATCATTTAAAGGAAAACTGTAACTATTCATTCAGGAAAAAGTTAAAAACCCCTAAGCCATAGAGCTACAATCATGTCATAAGATAGAACATAGGTCTTAAAATATTTTTTAGTGATTGCCTATGTATTGTCTATATATTGCTCTACAGTAAAAAGTTTCATGGTTTATTTCAACTATTTACGCTATTTTCTATGCCTGGAAAGTTAATGTTATTTATCATATTTTTCAAACAAAATGATTTTAACAGGCTGCTGCAAGTGTCAAACTAATTTGCATAATTTTGCTTTTTGTGTAGTTAGGGTAACCACAGATGGTTACCCTAAGTACACAAAAATAACCAAAAATTTGCATTGCCTATCTGTAGGTATTGAACTGCAACACATTAAAGTTTCCAAATTTTTTTATAATATTGCAATTTTTAGTGACGGGTACAATAACTTAAAAAAATTTAAAAATCAGTTTAAAACACATGCAAAAATAGATTATTTGAGAGAAAAACTATTACTGTACAAAATTTCAGGTGATCACCTATTTTATATTAAAAGTTATAGTCTGTCAAAAATCAAAAAAACATTTGTAGTATAAGCTCCAAATACTTACATGTTTCCCATTTTGGTCAATATTGTTTTTTTTCATAAAATCTGCGAGTGATCAAAATTTGAAGCAAACCTGAGATGGTACCCTGGGGACCATTAAGTGATTTGATATAGAATGAGCCTGATTTATTAAGAATTTATGCATCATTTATGTTTACCTATACACAAATGATGCATTATTCTTAAAAGTAAATCAGGTAAAGGGCGAACAAATTATAATTACATGCTAAAAAAAACAGCATTTTGCATGGTATTTCTATTAACTGCCAGGAAAAACCATGGTAATGGGTAATTACTATTTTTATTTATAATTATTAGTTTTTATTATACTATATGAAAACTTAAAATTGTTGTCCTTTCCTGCCTGCCCAATTCTAACCCTCGATCAATGTTCATAACCCTTGATCAATATTCCTAACCCTCGATCAATGTTCCTAACCCTCGATCAATGTTCTAATCCTCGACCAATGTTCATAACCCTCGATCAATGTTCATAACCCTCTATCAATGTTCCTAACCCTCGATCAATGTTCCTAACCCTCGATCAATGTTCCTAACCCTCGATCAATGTTCATAACCTTCGATCAATGTTCATAACCCTCGATCAATGTTCCTAACCCTCGATCAATGTTCATAACCCTCTATCAATGTTCATAACCTTTGATCAATGTTCATAATCTTCGATCAATGTTCATAACCTTCAATCAATGTTCATAACCCTCGATCAATGTTCATAACCCTCGATCAATGTATGCATTTATCTCAATATCTTAACTCACATGCGGTAGTGGTGTAGTGGTAGAGCGCTTGCTTCATAAATGAGTGGTTCCGAGTTCGATCCCTACCACGTCCCTGGTAGTACCGCGCTCAACTCGTTTCTCTGCGCAGCGGCCTTGCTCGTCAAGGTTCGTGTTTCGGAGTTATAGAGTTATAACCACAAATAAGTAGCCTCCTCGTCTGTAGTGGCCTTCTCGGCCTTGAGGAGGTGAATTAAAATTAAAAAAAAAAAAAAAAAAAAAAAGCAAATATATAAGATATTATATACATGAGGATGTGTAAATAAACATAATAGTTATACCATATGAAATATAGTTGTGATATGTTGTTATTAGTAACATTGACATGATAATAATTAAATTTGAGCAATATTGAGTTGTGGGTAGGGTTGCCAGACACCTGGCTTTATGAAGGAGAACATAGTAAAAAAAATTATTTTTACAGGTTTGGTACTGTATTCTCCACTGTAAGTGCAACTGGAAGCCCTAGTTGCAAGAGGCTCCAATTATTATTATTTTTTTCAAAACAACGTCAATAATATTTGTCTACTGATTAAATTTTTTGCTTAAAACAGAAATCTAAATGTAATTAGAATTGTTGACACTTTCACATCACTTTTTTTTTTTAACAAACACTTTTAACCTGTTAACAATCATGACGTAATATTAAGCAAACTAAAAGTGGTTTCTAAATGTCCATGCCATAATATTATGGTTTTGTGCATCTCTTTATATTTCCTTATTGTTCATCAGTAATTATACATCTACTTGTCACAAAAGTTATTACTAGATAATTACAGAGCTTTTCTTTCAATAATTGTCTTTTAAACACGTTTAATTTAATTTTAAATATGACAATATAAGGAGGTTTTTTCAGTGCAAAAATAATTATCAAAAAGTAAACATTTGCTCACGAAAAGATAGAATTTTATACATTTGATGAGTCAATAATGAAAAGATATATTTATTGAATTATTATTGAAAATGATAATAAATGCTCAAAAATAATGCTCAAAGGTGGAGTGTGGTATGTTACAAACACAACATTCAAAAAGGTTCAGGATATGAATGTGTAGTAGAACTTTTTGCAGCTCCTCGCTTTTTACAATTATCATACAAAAAGTGAATATTAGTGAATGCGTTTTTAAAATTTTATGTTTACTTAATATGATTTATATATTCTTAAACTTAAATATTAACATTTTATAGTGTTTAATAATGTTAAAAATAGTAAAAAACATTTTTTATTCTATTAGTTAAAAAACATGGTGAATTAAAAAAAGTTGGAATAATCGCGACCGTTTTTTAAAAAACACGGGACTGTTAAAGGGTTAATAAGAGTTGATACAACATAAAAATTTGTTTACTTTTTTGCATAATTGAATAACTTTTTGCATAAATTTTTATATTTTGAACTTCGTTTAAAATTGCATATTTCAAGATATGGAAACAGTAACCATTTTTTAATTACAAAAAAATTTGAATAATTTTTTTAAATTTTTATAATAAAAAAGTTTTAATTTTTTTTTTAAAAAAAGCATCTAAAAATAAAAAAGATTATTTTTCACGTTTTACAAAATTTTTCAATTTTAAAGAACATATTTTAATGAACAGAATAAATGAAAATGTTTACCTTTAAAAATCCAGTCTGCAAAATGGTTCCACTAAAAACTTTTGAAGACACAACTTTTTTAACAGGTACAGATTCTCCAGTTATAGTGCTTTCATCAACAGCAGCTTTTCCACTAACAACTTCTCCATCCAAAGGTATTTGTTCTCCCGCACAAACAATTATTAAGCTTCCTATTTGTACTTGTTCAATTGGAACAGTTTTATTATTTTCTGCTAAAACAGCTACATTAGGCCTTTTTACCATAAGTGCTTAATAAAATTTAAAAAAAAATGCTAAAAACTTTTGAGAGCCGAAAATATTTATATATTAGTATATACACAAGTGAATTTACCTGCAATAGACTTCTCAACTTTATACTTGCAAATCCTCTCAATTAGCTCTGCAATTATAAACACATATACAATAATGCAAGCATCCAACCATTCATATAAAACAACTGCTCCAATTATTGCAATCAGCATAAGTAAGTTAATGTTTGCAAAAACCTTGCGCTTTAAGTTTAAAAACAACATATGCAGCATTGGCAAACCACCAATCGTTAAAAGCGGTATTGAAATCCATTTTGTATATAATGGCTTCTTAAATGATGTAACAACAACTGCAATAAATAAACTAGTCATTATGATTAAATTAAACCACTGAAATAAAAAAGTTTTGAAAAATTTATTTTCTTGATGATCCAAAGTTCCACTTTCTAATAAACTTGCACCTAATTGAAGATCATTTAGTATTTTAAGAATAACTGATGATTGAATGACTGAAGCATCATGGGTAACATAAGCCAAACGACTAACAATATTAACATTTACTGACTTTATACCATTTAAATTTATTAGTTTCTCTTTTATAACTACTGCTTCTTTCCCACAACAAATATTTTGAATACGAAGCTTTATTGTTTGCACATTGCAAAACTCATTATCTCCATTATATGACTTAATATCAGATAAAATAAGAGGAGTTTCTTCATTAACTACACTCATTTTATTTTAATTTGTAAATTAAGTTAACTAAATGAAATTTGACAACTTTATTTTTTATAATAAAACCTTTATTAATATGCATATTAAGATATATAAAATATATATTTTAAAAAAGGTAAGTATAACATATTACAAACAGAAAAACAAAAGATTTTTCAACATAATAAATTAGTTGCAGTAAAAAGTTGCTGAAAAATGAGTTACACAAAATTGAATTTTTTTATTGAGGAAACAAGAAGCAAAATCAAAAAACAAAATCCTCATCTTTATATATGTAAATATACTTATGTGCCTATGGCTAAATGAATGGATAAATTCGAAAGTCAACTCCAATGTGTCTTTGGCTAAATATAAATAGTCAATTTATGTAC